GGCAAAAGTAAGACTTTAGCTGTTTATGCTTTGCAGATAGAGGTCTGTAGTTTAGCATTTAACTGAAACAGGCACATCTGTGAAGCAGCTTGTACATAAATGAGTGACAGAGTTAGTATGCGGTGTGTATTGGTACCAGGTTAAATGGACTCAGGGGTCTAGGCTGATGGTGACAGAGGGTGAAAACAGTTTTTAATCAACACACATTGCTCAGCTCCACATCTGCTTTATCGCATCCTGCCTGTTGCTGTGATTTAGAGTACCACATGCCTGCAGGTGCTGTTCCACTTACTGCATGCCAGAGGAATCATGTCCTTTGGGATTAAGAATAGAAAAGAATAACAGAGGTCAGAAATACTACTGTGCAGAACAGTGTTCTTTATGTGATACTTTCAGTATTTATTTTTAAATATATGCAATAAAAGTTTAGTTGATGGTTTGGTTTTAAACTCAGTCTGCAAAAACATATTGCAAGTCTAGAGCATGGCAATCAGTCATGGAAGACAAAGATACCTTAAACATATTCAACCTTTTGACCTTCAATAAGCTTAAACATATCATAAACATTTGTTATAGTCTTTACATTTTGTTTAGTGTCTATTTAAACAACAGTGGTAAATACATTTAAACGCCAATAAAGTACATGGGCTAATCATATTTTGAGAGATAATATAACGGGCTTATTCTTATCCTCTGAAATCACTTGCAATAGGCATGCCATGCATTCTGCTCTTTAAGTGGAGCAGACGTATTCAGGAGGTTCTGAACACATCTCCCTGGCAGATATCCCGAATGTAGTTTAAAGCCCCATAGATGAGAGCTGACCTGATATGCTAATGCTCCAGATATTGTTTGATGTTGAAAAACTCTTGTCAGTGTGACACAGCTTAAAAAAAATACATGAATATGCAAACATGAATAGGGTTGCCCATATTTAGAATAAAAACAGATAGATGTTTTTCAAAGCTTTTACCAGGAGTCACAACTTCCTCGAAAAGCCTCTGGTGAGGTGCTGGAAGTGAGACTCTAGCCAAAAGTCAAACTTATTTAACCCTTGTGTTGTGTTCAAAAGCTGTTACCGTTCATGGTGTTCGCGGGTCAATTTTGACCCATGATTTATCTCAGTCCTAAACACTCAAAAATAGTGACTATCATCCAATATTGTTTTAACTACTATGCATTCATTGTCTGGTAGTAGCTCAGTCGGTAGGGGCTTGGTCTGTGAGCCGTAGGGTCGCCGGTTCAAGTCCCCAACATCAGTTTCGGTGGCAGTTCTTCCAGTTTGTCCAAAGGTCTTCTAATCAGGGCTCTATAAATAAAGAACTACGGCAGATGTAATATTTAATGCAGCCGAACCGTGTATTACAATGCCGTTATGTGATGACTTTCAAAGAAAAAAGCAAGCACACTCAGAATAAAGTATTATTTTCTTTTTCTTTTTAAATGTTTTCGGATTTCACATCGCATAAACACCATATCCCGACCAACCTGCATTGCGGCTAAAACATCCAATCACCGAGCTTCAACGATAGCTGAGGAATATGGGTAGTTCGATGTTTTAGCCTATCAAAATCTCTGAAAAAAGAAATGTGTCTCTCAGAATCAAAAGGGAAAAATCTATGGGAAAAACACAAAAGCAGTGTACACAATTTAAATAAATGAATGTAGTGTAATTAACAAGGATAAACTGATGTGTTTTAGTGGATGAGTACGGCGGATATCACTGTGAAATCATTTGACAGTGAGGGGAATACAGTTTTATTATGAAAACTTCGAGACCGGAAATACTGTTTTCACCCCGTGAGGGTTGACGCTAACTTTACATAGGGGGAAGACATACACGTTCTCCTGGCGAGACCTCAAATAATCTTAATCTATCAAACTATAGATCCTACACATCCACTGGACGTGGATTCTAAAAGTACAATATACACTTCTCGCTAGAAATCAAATCAAAAAGCATTTTAATGGCTCAACTATTCTACAATTTAGGATTTTCCAGAGAGGGTTATTTGTGAATATACAACCCTCAATTGCCGCAAATTGTTGTTTCTTACACGACCACTTGAGGTGCTAAACTTTAAAACGTGACTACTGTATAGGTCGTAATAAGCTGCTGAACAATCGACCTATTTGGTCGTATGAGTTGGAGGACTTGTTGTTTCAATCATACTCTCTCACACACATAACTATTCTTATGCACACACCCTATCATTCTGTGTTATACACATACCTATATAGTCACATTTTGTAGTATTTTGCCATTACCATCGTACTAAAATGCTGGAAATAAAATCTCCAAAAATAAAAAGTTCTTCCAACAACCATTTAGTCAGTAAAACATGTGGTCCACAAATAGCCCTACTTTGTACTGATTTGCAACCATTTATCTTTCCTCTTTTACACAGTAGTTGAATTACTTTGAGACACCCACATTTCATTGCATTTCCATAGAGTTTTTCCACACTTGAAGACGCTGCATGATGACTTAGTGAACAAGAGCACAAAGCAGCAGCCTGACATATGAATTTAAGAGGAAGAGTGTGGTTAACCAGCAGTCTTCTGGTTCATCAGCTGTTATGTTACAATACAAGTTTTAAATGTTTGCTCTATCTTTAGGAACCAGCACAGATAATATGTTTGACAGAGAAATAATTAAAGAACTCTATTTGTCATACAAAGTTTTTTTTTTTAGTAACCATACTTTGTCTTTAATTAGTTGGCCATTTGCAGTTGAAATAATTGACAGTTTGCCGAGGGAACTTCTGTAAAAAGATGCTTCATAGCTCAGAATCCTACCCTATCCTAATGTATCAATATTATATCTGGTCATCTTTATAATATGTATTTAAAAGGAATTGTTTTTGAGTGAGTTGCATTTATATTGTATAAGTATATACAGTTATATTTCAGATGGAATTCTTATCTCTTCACATGGCAGTCCTTATTCGAGGTTTGAGAAAATGCCTGCTACTAAAATGAATGAGACTGCTAAATTGGAGACCTGCATCACAGAAAATTGCATGACAAAGTAAAGTGAGTAAACAGTATAAAGAAACTAAACAACTGCCCTTTCATGCGTATCCTGACCGCAGCCTCTGTGTGCCAACCAAAGGTAGCGTTCACGGAAACCCAATTAACAGCTTTAACACTTCAGTGAAAATGCCAACAAGCGCTTGTGGGATTTACGATTCTTAAATTGGCCCCTCATTTTATTTGCGGCCTCTGACTGGTTGTCCCTCTGATTATGCAGGTGACTTTAAGTGGAAACATCAGGACAATAGAATAGCATGTATTATCTGGGGGCATGGCTCTCACGCCATATAACCAAAGGTCGTTGTTCTCACCACCAACAAGGTGGTTTGTATCAAAGAGAAATCTGCCTTGAAAATAAATTCAAAAGAACGTGTTATTGCATTATCTCACGAACAAAATAATAGTCTTTGTTTTCTGAATTTATTTTCAATTGATATCATGTTACTTTTCTCTATTTGTTTGCGATGCGATATAATCTTGACAGCTTTGTGTTTATACCTAATTGAAACCTCAAAAACGTAGAAGATAGCAGAGAAGAAAAATGGAACAAAGAGTCCGTCAAACAAAATGTATCTTTTCATTAGAAATGTGATCTACCATCTCAACCATGCATTATTTCCCACAGAAAAATATCTGTACTGTTATTAGTTATTGAATAAAGGGAAAGCCTATAAATATGTATTGTTGTTCTCAAAGATGTGTTGTCTTCTCAGAGATTCTATGATTGATATTCACAGCATCCAAGGATCTCTGAAGATGAATGGCTGTTTCTCTGAGAGCATTGATTGAATTACTAACTGGGAAAAAGTTTGACAGACTTTTTGAAAAGCATTAAAGACACTATAAAAAAAGTACTTCCATATGCCTTGTTATGTGAAACTTGAGCGCTGTTTGTAATTCCCATGGAGTAAAGATGCAGGCAGCACTGTTTAGCCCTGTTTTTCTGGATTCCTCTGTCTCACTCGGTACTCCTTGTTGCTGCTGCAGAGCACAGGGAACTGTGTGGAGAATATCTGACCTCCCAACATCTGGAAGATAGCTTAATGATCATTAAAAACAAGATATCGTAAATGACAGGGGGCAGGGTACACTGAGGTTTAGGTCTCCATCTATTTACATGCACTGGATTTGTGACATGCAAAGCAGATACATAGAAGAGAACCCGCCTGAGACCTTTAACATTTAATTTGGTCTTGTTCTAAATGTATAGGCAAAACACAACTGACATTCTCCTGTGAGGGTCTGGTGTCTTAACATTTATATTCAAAGTTAAAAGTAGAGAGAGCTTAAGAACAAGTACTAACCAACACAGCTGCACCTTAAAACATAAATCTGTTGACTACCATGAAGCTAAATTGATGTGATGTTTATCACATCAACATTCTGAAACATGAGAGAATTTGTGATTAAAGCCTTCTTTAATAAGCCTAAAATACCTAATTGCAGCTTGCAATCTCGTGCAATGCTGGTAATTAACCACAGCACATAGTTTCCCTCACTTACACTCCAAAAGACAAAAACAACTGGTTTTAAAATGCTACTAACAGCAACAGCAGGCTGTTTGTGGTCCATGAATAATGTGCAGGTCAAAGGTACCGGAGCTAAAGGATATTGAGTTAGTCATTCTCTTCAAATGGTAAGTCAAAACAGATACAATTATTCACTGACCAAAATTTCACTAAAGTAGCAACGGCAACAGCCTCATTACCTTTACAATTTCTGTGACCTCAGTTCCTGTCCTCGATAAATGAAGGCATTGATTGACACAACTTGTATATTATGCCCAAAGCACATTACTGTCTTGGGTTTGAATGTTGATAGGAACAACTTAAGCCTTTCTTTCTAAGTTGTCAGCAAATATTGTGCACTGTTTGCCATTATAAAAAACACGATTCTAAACTTTAAGATCTCCATATTGTGTTTATTGGATGATTGCCAATGAATGTCCTTGTTCAGCATAGTATTCTATGCATTTTAAAAAGAGGAACAAAAGCAGAACACATATCGTGCCTGTCAAATAATCTTTGACATGTTGATTACGGGCAAACACATGACCTAAAATCACCCCTTGCTGTCATTGTTTTTGAACTTGTTGATGCAATAATCAAATTGAGTCATATGCGGATGATCACAAATCCTGACAAAGGAAGAAGACAGGGATGATTATGAAAAAGCAAGCAAGGGAAAATGTTTTCTCCAAATGACATGTTTGGAAAATATGTCACTTGCAGGAAATCATCAGGGGCCATTTACTGTAATTAATGTGGGTGAGGGGCTGGTTCCCTGTTCAAACCTGGAGTAATCACAAAAACACTTCTACATTCGGAGACCATGTGCATTTCCCTTGCATCCCTGATTTAAACAAATGAGGCAAATAATTGAAAGTGTGGTCAGTTTACTATGGTGAGGTCTATCTCCAGGCCTTTCACATCTCACAACAGACGACTGTATTTATACAATTCGATTTCGAGAGATATTGCAATCACAATCAATAACAGGCAGGACGAAACAACCTGCCTTATAATGACTAACAATCACAACATTAAAGGGGCCAACGCCTGGAGTTACTAATGCAGAGCTCAGTGTATGTTTGACATGTCAGGTTTTCTTTTCACTAGTCAGTTAGCTGTTAGTGACATCTTCCGGAGCAGCATAACACTGCAGTTCAGGGATAAAGCTACGTCAGCACCGCGCTACGTGGAAGATGGAGCGGGGGAGGAAGCTTGACGGTGATGCTACATTCAAGGTATTACCCTTCAAAATAATAGCATCCATTCACATTATACGCTTCCAGCCTCTCATGTATTTAATAAAACGAACTCAAGAGTGAAGATCCTATGTTTTACTTGAAGTGCATTGATTTTAAACTCCTGCCATCTGACTTGCAATAGAATAAAAATCACACAGTATTTTATTTCGAAGTGCTACTAAAGCTGTTAGCTGGATGGATGCAGGGATTTTCTGGCTGAATTACATGAAAGCAGGCAGATAACGTAAACGTTGCAGGAAAAACAATGGATAACAATGGATGGATTTAGCATTGCATTATAGCTAATACAACAACGGTGCTTTCCCGTTGAACATTTTGCTTTTCAAGTTTGCTTTAAGTGTGAATAACGGCTTTTTTCTCCTCGGAAGGCTGGACTTCAGGTTTTCGACTGGTGAGGAAGCTAGCTGTCAACTACTATAGCCACTTCAGCGCCGCCACATTATCATCAATGTAAGCAAGAACAAGAAGATACTTTATGTCAATGTGGACTTGAACGCTGCAGACAGTAGGCATGTTGTAAAACTGCAAACATAATATTATCTTTAAGTGTTACTGTGTGCTGTCTTGCAGAGATTAAAATATGGCAGACAGTATCATGAGCAAGGCTGCAACCATGGAGATCCCCATTAACAGCAATGGAGACACAGGAACTCTGCCAGAGGATGACAGCCTCGAGCAGGTCAGTCACATTTTCTCTCAAATAGCTGACAGTGGTTTTTAAATAAATCTGTTTTTTTGTGTTTTTTGCTCAGATTGTTTGTTTCTCGGACCCTTTTCACGCGATACACATGACTACTGCTGTTTAGGCCAGCTGTTACACATCAACCAGGCCTGCAGATGTTTACAGGATCTGTAATGTTATACCACTGTCCCCATCAATACCTACATATGAGAAATATGGGTTTAGAGCATGGATAGTGAGCACAAGGATGACTTTTATTTATGAGCTTCAGCTTGCATGAAAAGCAATTCACAACTGTAATGTCACATTCTTGTACAGGGATGAGAAAGCTGCAGTATCAGTTGTCCTATGAATAATATGTCAGTGTGAGGACAGTAGGGTCACCATACTGAATAATCAAAAGAGCATATAAGCTATTTCTGCGTGGTGACTGTGCAGGTTGACTCACTGTCAGTTGACAAAGTATGACTAATTCATTGATTTAATCGACAGATACATAACACTGATTTTCTCCTTAAAGAAACTTGCAAAAGTAAAGCTTTAAACCGTGTGTTATCTGGATGTGTTTATAATTGTTTGTTAATGAGTCATTTAGCATGAAAAGTTTTAAAACTAAAGAAAATAGATCTCAGTGGACAAAGGCCAGAACATACAGTTAGTCCACTAAGAGTGGGGTAGCCTTGGGCAAATAGCTTTTTTTTTCATTTGCACACAAATTCCTAGTTTGCACTATTCTTTTTTCATAGTATTATTATTCTTTATTTGGAATATATCATTATCAGAATCAGAAAACCTTTATTTGTCCCGCAATGGGGACATTTACATTATTACAACAGCAGACAAAAGTGCTAAGTATGAACACATTATTAATAACACAATAAGTAACAAACAAAATGTTGGTATTGAGGTTGTATTGCACTTGCATGTATATTGTTAGTGCAATATAACCTCCTGCAATGTCACGTTATAGTAACGTATAGTGCATAGTACTGTATTGTACAACTACTTTACAACTAGTTTTTCATGATACATTATTTTTAAGTTGATAATGTCCAAAGATATAGTCACAGTTTCTAAACCATTACATTTGATAATATGTATTGCATTCTTAATCATATTAATTAACAATATTTTGTGGTGACCGCATCAGGACTTGCAGCAGGTGATGGTGTCTGGACCCAACCTGAATGAAACCAGCATTGTCTCAGGAGGTTATGGAGGACCTGCAGGGGGCATCATCCCTACCAGCAGCATCAAAGGTACTGTTCGGAAAAAAACTGCCATCCTTTACAGGTTTCACTTTGTTGTTGCATATTCTTACGAACATGGTTTGCTCTCCAAAGATATCATTGATTTATCCACATCTACAGACTGCCATGCGCTGAGCAGGAGATTGTCAAAGCTGCAAACCTTAAGTCTCCTAAAGTGGTCGATACCTGACCCCCCTTTTCTCTCTTGTATTTTGATGTTTCACAAGAGTCTGACCTCTAGGCTCCAGGTTCACATTATAAACATCCATATCCCATAGGGCCAGCAGTACGCTTCAACCCTGAGTATGTGGACAGAAGAAGAGCCCCTGCACCGGGACCAGGTGGCTGTGTATTCTGACAACCCTTTTTTGTTTTCTAAATTAACCTATATATGTTGATCGGTTTGGCTCTGTATAAGAGGTTTTGATATTGCTTGACTGAGGATGTTATATGAAACCTTGCTTGTACCTCTTCAACTCACAGCTTCAGAAACAGAAAGTGTTTTGGCAGCTTCCAGGATTATGGGTGCACTAACCTGATACAGGGCTGTCACTTCAAATGCTGCATTGTTGTCTAATACGACTGTCCTCTTTTTCCTGTAAAATGCACTTTGGATGACAGTTGTTCATTTTCATTGTTACTTCTCATCCCATGAAGTCCATTTTCATCTGTGAATAAACCCTTTCCTTCAGCATGAGAGACCGGCATGGTAGATTATTTCGAAATCCCTTTAACTCCAATGTATTATGTATCCTCCATCACAGAGCTTTACATTTTCTTTCAGTCTGCAAACTCTGCTGTTCAGCCGCATATCTTAATGCCAAACCTCTTTTTACACATATTTCACTTCATGCCATCATTTCATTCTCACTCTTTATCATCCCCATGCTCATTACAGACATTCGCATGAAATCCAGGGTTGTTGGCTTGCCAAACAGCCAATCTGCAGCAAGTCGACTTTCCCAACACACAGACCAGCATCCAGGTATCACCAGGCTCATCACCATGTCCACACTGTTCTCACTCATTGTCATAGTTCATGCTTTTCATCTACCCCCCCGCCTTTTAAACTTTGATGACATGCATTAGAGTCTTCATAGATTTGTGTTGTGTCTGTTAGGGTCGTCGAACAATAATACTGGTAATTCAACCGAAGAACTTTCTCGTGGTGTGGCAGTGGAGAAATTGGACAGTGTGAAGAAATGGGGCATAAATACATACAAGGTATTGTGTACTGTGTGTAGATTATTTTCTTTAAAAAGTTTCCACAAGCTCAAAAAGATATGCTTGCACTATTTATCATTCTTTGCAGAACCAACATACATTTGAGAATATAAGCATGTAAGAGAGGTTTAAAATACATTATGTGAAAATTGTAGGTATCCTTTGGTCCCAAGCTTAACCGTGTTGTTAATATATCATTTTTATTATGCAATAATAAATACTAAATTCTTTGATAATGGATTGACCTAATCCATTCTCAAAGTATTTAGTGCTTTGGATTTACAAAACAAGACATTTCAATCACCTTGGATTTTGAGAACCTGGATTAAACATTGTTCACTATTTTCTGAGTTTAGGATTAATCGTTGAATCTATAAATGATCAAGATTAATCTATATTTAAAAATAATTGTAAGTTGCAGCACTAGACCACCTTTTGTGTTTTTCAGTCATAATGACTTTGTACTACCTTAAAGGTAGGGTAGGTAGGAATGGAGAAACCAGCTCGAGTGCGCTAGAATTTGAAAGTACGCAGCCGAAAAAAATCTGCCCCTTCCTTCAGACTTCCTTACAGAGCCCCTCCTCCAACACACACAAACACACACATGACCAATGAGGGCACGAGATAAGTTTGTGCACGAGATGGAAGGCTGACAGGCAGGTAGGCCATCCAGTTATTTTAGCCGGGCCGGCTAAAATAATTGGTTGTGCTTTTTACAGCGCCACGGCTTCCACAGATGAAATGTTTTCATGTATTTATTGTTAAAGCATTTAATGTATTCATTGCTATCGGAGCTAAGAGCATTCCATGGAATATAACAAAAAGTGTTTCTGAAGTGAATTACCTATCCTACCTTTTAATTGAATCTGCTTTTCTTTATGCATTTCCTCTTTGTAGTGTACAAAGCAGATGTTCTCAGAGAGGTTTGGCAGAGGTTCAAGAACAGTAGACCTGGAACTGGAAGCTCAGATTGACGTGTTGAGAGACACCAAGAGCAAGTATGAAACCATCCTAAAACTGACCACTGCACTCACCACTCATTTCCAAAGCATGGTGGAGACACAACAGGCGCTGGGAGACACCTTCGCCGACCTCAGCCAGAAGTCCCCAGAGTTGCAGGTACTTTTCAGTATTGCAAAAGCTCCCAGTGTGATGTGAGAGGGAACTGAAGTTGACAGGTCAAATTGTGTTTCTCTGCAGGACGAGTTTGGCTATAATGCAGAAACACAGAAACTGCTGTGCAGAAATGGCGAGTCTCTCCTCAGTGCCATCAGCTTTTTTGTGTCCAGTATCGACACACTGGTCAACAAAACAATGGAGGATACTCTGCTGACCATTAAACTGTATGAGAATGCAAGGTAACAAAACCTGATAGGTGAAGAATATGATCTGAATACCTTTGTGGTTATCACCTGGAGAATGAGAGCCTGACAGCCTGAACTGGTTTTTTTCCGTGCAGACTTGAGTTTGATGCCTATCGTTCTGATATGGAGGAGCTGAGTTTGGGCCCCAGGGATGCAGCTGCCATGGTCCGCATAGAGATGGCTCAGCATGATTACCAGATCCACAGAGACAAATATGAAAGGCTGCGTAGTGATGTCACCATCAAGCTCAAATTCCTGGACGAAAACAAGGTTTGTGGTTTAAAGTCATTTCAAATGTCTGCCTACTAAAAGAGTAGCTTAATACCTCCGGAAATCTGTTATTGTTATATCTGATCTCCACTGGATTAACGTCTCAAATGTCTGCAGTGATGTGTAGGTAAAGTATTCAGGACCCTATGACATCACTGTTGGGAGTGTCTGCAACATTTATGACTCGCACCCAACCCCAACCACCAGTGATGCTGGGTGTGGTAAGAGCTGAAACAGGCTTAAAACTGTCAACCAGTGAAACTCCTCTCTTCAGTCCGGTGTTAGGTTACCTTTTTAAAAAGACTCACAATTACCTGTCATTCTGAATGTAGAATAAAATCAGTAGTTTGGTTAATCAAAACTATTATGCACTACAGCAGTGGTTTGAGGTTGAGTTTCCCCACTCAATCTCTGCCCATATGCATCTATTGACGCAGAACTGATCAACCAGAGGAAGCAGGCAGGCTTCTTCGTGCACAGACATGAGCATAATTATGCTGTTGATAATTACAATAAAAAGCAAATGTCTCAGTTTTGTCAAAATTGAAACTGAGACATTGTTTAAAATCAAACACTAATGTCTGATAGTTTTCATCAACTAAGTGAGAAAGAATTTGTTTGTATTTGAAGCTTGGGAATAAATAGAGGAATAATATGTGCAAGTTGCTTTCTGGTTGATTCCCTAGAATCTAAATAAACTGCTTGTAAATGTTATCTTAACAGATGTCCATGGGATGTACTCTTCCTCTAGAATTTAGAAACTGTGTTAGTAATGGCAACATTTACCTCTTCTTTTTTCTTTAGGTTAAGGTTATGCACAAGCAGCTGCTTCTCTTCCACAATGCTATCTCAGCCTACTTTGCTGGCAACCAGGAGCAATTGGAACAAACTCTAATACAGTTCAATGTAAAGTTAAAGCCCCCGGGAACAGACAAGCCATCCTGGCTGGAGGAGCAGTAGACTGGGTTGGTTGAGGTGTACAGTGACAGCTGGCGGCTGGTCAGGGAGGATCTTGACATTGGGGTCAGATGGGCAAGAATGAAATGCATAAATGAGTATGTTATAGGATCATTTGTGTTCAGTGATACAGCAAATGTAAGATTTTCTTTTTTAATGTTTTTAAGTATCACATATTACATAGACAGTACAACTATTTTAGTTGTACTTTGATTTTTTTGTTGAGTCACAAATTACTTTCTTATCCTTTAGGTAGCACAATCATTTATCACTTTTTTATGTATGTACAGTATAGTCTACTATTGTGGAAATACTCCTTGGCAGTTTTGCACATGCATTATGTTTTGTTTTTGTATTATGTCAAAAGCGTTATCTTATATATATAATATATATATATATATATTCAGAGTATATCACATTGGAGGAACTCCACAAATCAGATAAGCTGGTGGGATGATATAAAATTATGAAATATTCTATGCATGACTGAACCCTATTTTTTCAAATTTAGTTTCACAAATTTAAATCAGAGCCACCAGGATAATGCATAATTTTCAAAGTTATCCCACCACGCTTCTAATATCACCTTGTGGTTTACCTCCCTGAATGGTCAGTTTGCATAGAATGGAACATATAAATACACAGAGTGATTAAAGTGATTTTCTTTAACCTAATATATAATCCATAGCTATTTTGATATCCTACATTTTGGGTAAGAGATGTGAATTCAGCACAGTATCTGTCATGTTTACTCCAATGTGTATATGGAAACAAGCCTCAATAGATGTTACACTAAGTAACTGCATGAATCCATACATTAGATGCTTCAATCAATACAACTTCTGAACAATCAATGCCCTTGCAATCCAAGGTGCAATTTAAAAAGAAAAATGATCCTTCAACACTCATTCTTGAAGTCTCAAATCCTAAAATTCATTTCAGTGTCTCTTAAAGGACCGAATGTATACGTACATTTCTTATTCTGTGTTATTTATTTACCAATTGTTTTGTGACACAACATTGTATGGTACGTGCATTTATTTTCAATTCTAGTCAGATGATTGTCTTTGTCTTGTTCTGCATTTCCAATAAAATCTGCTGGATGTTTTGTTTCGCTTAACTGTGCCGTCGACACAGATCCTTCAATGTTATGTGGGAAGCTCTTAAAGATGATGTACAGAAAGCTCACAATATGTTATTGTATGGCAACATTAATGATGTACTCACTTATACAACCTGATATATCTTTAACATGCTTTTCATAATTTATTAATACATTTAAAAACTTCAGTTTCTAAACCATAATGATACCCATCAGATCCCTTGTATGCATTTACTGTATTCGACTGCTGTCCCAGCTAGCAGGGAACGTTCTCACAACTTTGGCTAACGTTACCTACAGGTTATAATAATGTTTTAAAGAAAACGTTTTAATCTGATGTTCAAAGAACCTTTTGAGGATGTTTGTAATTTTAAAATAATGTTCATTTAAGGTTAACTAAGACATAACGTTTTAACTGCAACATTCAGAGGATGTTTTGAGGATGTTATGAGGCCTGAGATGACAAAGTGTTTTATAAAATGTTCCTTTAATGTGATATTTTAACAAAGGTGGAACGCATGCCTGCAACATTCTGAGGATGTTTTTTTGTTTGGCCTGAGATGACAGAACGTTTTTTTATAGGTTTTGAGAAGGTTATTCTTTTTTTATAAAACGTTCCTGTGATGCGAAATATTAACACGGTCATCGACAACGTCAGATTTATTTGTAGAGCGCTTATAAAAAATAAACCAGGTTTGTGCCAAAGCGCTTTACAACAAACAGAATTGAGCAGGAGTTGTCATAAAACACAAGTTGTTGCATTTGTTTGAAAAGGATGTTTTGAAAATCTGATGTCACCACATTTTACTTTTGAAAAAAACAGACAAGCACGTAATTCATGATAAGCTGTAAGCAGATATTGTATGTTTGCGGTGGCATGTGTGAGTTCCCAGCTAGACATTTTTGGTTCTAAAAACATTCTTAGAATGTTACCATTCATTGTTCAGGAATGTTTTCAGCAGGAAGTTTTATTTTGGTTCCCAGAATGTTCTTCTCAAAGGTAGGATAACGTTCTCGAAAAACATTCTTAAAATGTTTGGTGATGACCTTAAGATGTTTTTGATAACATTGTTAGAACATTATGCCCTACTATTCTTAAAGTGTTTTTGTTGTTTATGCACATGTCTCCATTGTCATATTGATAGAATAACACTTAGAAAACCAAATAGGTTTATTTTTATCATGACAAAAGCCACTTTAAGTCACCAGGAGTATCGCCGATTAACGTTGGTACTCTCCTCCGGCAGCCAAGTTGGTGCATTTGCATAATGGCTGTATGAGCGTATTGAGATGTATAAAAAGGAATTTGCATGCCAATATTCACTCACATGCACTTATAATCACACTAAGCCTTGGTATAAGCCCACAGTATTCATATGTGTAAAATATCATAAAAGAATCACAGTTTTTTTCTGACTATAAAGGTTGTGTCTCTTATGTAGGTTCTAACTGTTAGATAAGCTATCTGGCTGTGTGAGGGCTGCGTATAAACAGTGTCCGCTGTTTATGCATAGTGGATGGAAATCGTAATTGCACCCTTTAGATTTGAAACCGATAGACATACAAGAACGATAGTTAGTACCGGAGTACCGCCAGAGGTGATGCTTTAAGCACTGGATATGTCCATCGCGCGCAAGCGTAGGTCGAGTACCAATACCAACAAAGTCACCTGTGACCCCACGTGACACCGAGCTATATCTGCCGGTGTCGTCAGAGGATCTGTTCCCAGAATCTTTTTGTGAGAACACAAGGATTGACAGGATACTCTGGCGGTCATCTTGGATTCATAGAACCGTAGTTAGTCGTAACTATCGTTCTATTTCATCCCTGACCACCAGAGGCGGTGTTTTAAGCACTGGATGAGTTATACCAACAATGTCATGAAGAATCCAAGCACTTACTAACTGGAAGCAGCGGAGCTCGGCCATAGGACCACGCCCCAAAGGATGGGGAGTGGCAACATTAATCCGATAAAACCTGGAGAATCTGCCAGACGACGCCGTGGCGCAGATTGTCTCCAGGGGCACGGTCACCCCTCTCAGGGCAGCCCAAGATGTTGAGATGCACCTTGTAGAGTGGCATCTCACCCCTGATGGCAGGGGGCGGCCACTGGCCCCATAGGCATGTGAGATGGTATCGACAACCCAGTGGGACAGCTGCTGTTTAGAGAGAGCACAACCTTTTTTAGTGCCGCCATGGCAAACGAAGAGCTGCTCCGACTGCCGTATACAGGCAGTAGCATCAATATACGCCGTTAGGGGACGCACAGGGCACAGCAACTCAGACGTGCCGCTCTACTGTAAAATGTCAAAGCGTGCCAGCTGGATAGGCTGATTGAAGTGGGTTTGTGGAAGCACCTTGGGCAGGAACGCCACATTTGGCCAGAGGGCAACACCTGATCGGAGTTCCACCTCAGGCATGTATCGCTCACAGAGAGGGCATGTAACTACCCAACTCGCTTCCCTGAGGTTATGGCAAGCAGAAATGCTGCCTTCATGGACAGCCACTTAAGCCCCACCTGGGCCAGGGGCTCGAAGGGAGGAGATGATAGGGCATCCAGCACAAGGGGCAGGTCCCAAGCTGGAGCCCTCGGGGTGCTAGGGGGACGCTGCCATAAAGCCCCTCACAGGAAGAGGGACACCAACCTGTGGCACCCCACCATGGCGCCGTCGACTCCAACATGTCGGGCAGAAATAGCAGCCACATAAACCCTCAAAGTGGAGTGAGAATGTCTACTATCTAGAAGGGACTGCAGAAACTCCAAAATGGTGGCCACAGAGCAATACCCCGAATTCTCGGCCTTACCTACACACCAGTGGGAGAACAGCTTCCATTTGCACTCGTACTGCGCTCGAGTGGATGGTGCTCTGGCATTCAGGATAGTTTCCCTGACAGATGACGTAAAATCACTCAACAGTGGGTTGGGCCCCGCAGAGGCCAAACCCAGAGCTGAAGACGATGAGGGTCGGGATGCCAGACCTAACCCCTGAGCTGTGACAGAAGGTCCTTCCTGTCGGGGAGACGCCATGGTGGGCTGCAGCAGAGGCTGTGCAGCAGTGGGAACCAAACCCTCCCCGGCCAGAGGGGGGCAACCAGAAGGAGCCTGTGCCCCTGTGTAAGGACCCTCTGAAGCGTCTGCAAAATCAGAGGCAGCGGCAGGAAGGCATATAGGAGACTGTCTGGCCAATCGTGCGCCAGAGCGTCCTGCCCCATCGGGCTCGCCTGCAGGGGTGCGAGAGCTGCTGCCACGACCCTGGTGAACACCCTTGGAGAGAGGGAGAGACCAAAGGGAAGCACCCGGAGCTGAAAGTGTCGGCCCTGAAAGGCAAACCTCAGGAACTTCTGGTGGTGAGCGGGGCCTCGTCCTCCGCCTCGTCATTGAAGAGGTTAGCTGAAGCCGCTAGCGACATGGCATCCTCAAGCAGAGGTGCGGCAACTGAAGGAGTTGCTAGTAGCCCCCACACCGGCCCCTGGCTGAAGGAGCAAGAGGAGCGACTTCATCTGCTCCATGTCGGCAGTTTGCCGATCCACCTTAGAAGACAGCTTGTTTCTAGCCCTCTTATTGGGGGGTGCACCCATAGCCATCGCTCCATCAAGCCACTGGGAACAGCCAGACTGAGCTGGAGGAAGTTGTGACAAGGAGAGGTGTCCGTTGGCTGCTACCAGACGCTCCACCTCTGCGACTCTAGCCACTCTAGCGCCCGAGGCATGGAGCTACAGTTCATGCGGGCGCTTTGTGTGAGACCCCCCCTTAAATGCTCGAGGCCAAGGCAAGAGGTGCAGCGGTCATGGCTGTCCTCGGGCTCAAGAGAAGCCATACAGGCACTACATGAATGGGCCATTCTGTAGGTAGCCAGATGTAACGTAACCCGGGAGCGGCAGCGTGAGCACAGCGTTCACCAGTTACCTGCTGAACGGAAAGAGTAGCCTGAAGCACTGCTACTAATCACAGAACACAAAGAGGGAGGCAAATATAAATGTCCTACACCCACGTTACCAGTAGTGGGAGCGGGAGCGAGAGCACTGCCTTCCCCAGCTGAGTTAAATAATGAAGTTCAACAGAACATGCAAGATGTTAACCAAGCGGCTGCTGCTAACAATCAAGGCAATACGTTACCGGGTGCGGGCGCGAGCGAGCTGCCTTCACCGGCAAGTCCAAGTCAAATAACACAAATGCTAAGACCAGATAATTGGCTTCTAAAGAAAAAAACAGCACGGATAAAATCCCAGTGCTTATCCCAAGTGTCAGCCAAAGCGGCTGCACACTAGCACGACATAGTTAGGCTGAGCCAAGCTACTGCTAACTAAATTGAACGACAAAACGCAGCTAAAGCTGGAAACTCAAAATGCTAATGATAGCTCGGCAATCAGATGCAAAAAAGTACAAAAGAGCACAATAAGGGCAACTTATGGGAGCGGGAACATTGCCATCACCATAAAGTCTAAGCCAAATAATAAACAAGACAGCAATCAGGACAACTTATGCTGGGAGCGGGTGCGGGAACACTGCCATCACCAACAAAGTTGAATCCCTTAGTTCAAGCCAAACGATGTAGGCTACAACATGTAGCCACGGTACTCGCGCAGCGAGAAGATGAAAGGAACAGATCCTCTGACGACACCGACAGATATAGCCCGGTGTCACGTGGGGTCACAGGTGACTTTGTTGGTATTGGTACTCAACCTACACATGCGCGCAATGGACATATCCAGTGCTTAAAGCACCGCCTCTGGCGGTCAGTAGGGATGAAATAGAATGGACCGACTGTCACTGCCCGTCCCTGAAACCCCTGTTAGTGTTTGTATGTGTTTGTTTCTACTGTCTGCCTGCTGGTCTGCTCTACACGGCTGGGAGCCATCAACCACACCTGCAACCTGCTCATCAGCCCCACTATTAAAGCCTCTAGCCTGCACTCATTCCCTGCCGGATTGTTGCCGTGAACGGTTTGTTGCCATGAACGGTTTGTTGCGTGCCGCTCTAGCTTTTTGCCAGCAGATTTTTTGACAACTTTTCCTGC